GTCTGGAAACCGCGAGACGAATCTTTTGAACCTAATTAAGCAATCATTAGTATATGTGGGTTACTGTAGTACTTATGGCTAATCATGGACTAATTAGATTCAAAAGATTCGTCTCGCGATTTACATGTAAACTGTATAATTAGTTTTTCTTTTTATCTATATTTAATACTTCATACATATATCTAAAGATTCGATGTGATGTTTTTTAAAAAGTTTTTTAAACTAAACAGGGCCAAAAAAAATCAATTACGGCTAGTTGCTATAAGAGCTACTACTAGTACACAGTAGTACTACGATTGACAGAGACGCGACGGAGGAATCGATATCTCCAATCGTTGACACCGAAAGTATAGCACGTAAAAAGCGATCGAGAGAGATGATCATATTATCGGTTGATCGAGTGAGTCGGCCGGCCGGTTTAGTCTCATATCTTAATTATTATAACTTGCGATGTGGGTCCCAATTCGGTGATCACGACGGGAACCTGTCGCACACATTTGCCGTGACGTCGTCTCGATCGATCGATCTCTCGCTGCCTGCCTCCTATTATTGTTGTTTGGGTATAGTATAGCATCTTAATTATCCTAGCTACAAAAGGTTTAGTGTGCTCTTTTTCAAGCCTTTTTGGACTAATTAAGTACTGAGAACCGGTACATGTGCAGTGTATCACTGTATTGTTGCTGACGAGCACCACGTTCGCTGTGGGGGCTAGAAATTCCCACATTAATCGGAGAAAAAGAAAATAAGAGTCCAAGTAGAAATATAATTTAAAAATAGCTGAAATTCGGAATTACAAATAAGCAATATTGAAAGAAGAGTTCGTATAAGAATCCAATACGCGATTAATTAAAATTCAGAATAAAAATAAAATAAAATCAGAAATTGGAAAAAGAAGAGTCCATATAGGAATAAAATCTAGAAATAACTGGAATTCGGAATTAAAAATAAGGAATATTAAATGAAGAGTCCATATAAGAATCCAATACGAGATTAACTAAAATTCGGAATAAAAATAAAATAAAATCTGAAATTGGATAAATAAAAAAGATAGTTCGAGTAGGATGAAACAACTATAAAATTGAAAATAAAAAAACATTAAAAAAATAATTCATATAAGACATAATACGATATTAACTAAAATTCTAAATAAAAATTAAAATAAATTCCAAAAATAGAAAAAGAAAAATAATAGTTCAACTAGGAATACAGTTTATAAATAACTTAAATTCGACATAAAAAGTAAAAACTATTGAAATAAGAGACCATCTAGAACATATGACGAGATTAACTAAAATTTGTAATAACAAAATAATAAATTCTGTAAATATAAAAATAATTATAAGAGTTCAAGTAGAAATATAATTTATAAATAAAAATATCGGAATGAAAAATATGGACTTCTAAAAAAACTCCATCTAGAACACAAATGATGACAAATAACAATAAAGAGGAGAAGCAACAGGTTTATAAAGAAGTAGAATGGTGGCGGTTGATAGGACATCTAAAAACTAATAACAAAACCTCAAATAGAATCCCAATGACGATTAAAAGGAGAGACGACGGATGGGCCGTTAAGCAGCCCAGTCATGGCGGTTGGCGGGACTTATAGAAACTAAAATATGAACCAAAATAATAAATATGTTCGATTTTTAAAATCCTAATGACAATAAAGAGAAGAGGTAGTGGACAGACCGAAGAGAAGTATGGTGACAGGGTTTGACATAACTTCTAAAAATTATAAAAAGATGACAAATGACAACAAATATAGGATAATCAACATGTATGTAAAGGATTAAAGTGGTGGCGGTTGATGGAATATCTAAAAACTATAAACAAAACCCCAAATAGAATCCCAATGATGATTAAAAGGAGGGACGATGGACGTGTCATTAAGCAGCATGGTTACGACGGTTGGCGGGATTTCTAAAAAGTAAAAATAAAAACAAACCCCAATGATAATCATGTTTGAATTTTAAAATCTCGGAGACAATAAAGAGGGGGCAGCGGGTGAGCTGTACATGAGTACAGTGGTAAAGTCCCTGACAGTTTGGTGGAACTTCTAGAAAGTAAAAAAAAACCTAAATGGTAATTACGTTTGATTTTTAAATCCCAATGAAAATAAAGAGAAGAGGTAGTGGATTGACCGTAGAGTAGTATGGTGGCTGCATTTGACGAGACTTCTAAAAATTATAAAAACAAAACCCAAACGAGACAATAAACTCTAAAAACTATAAGGTCTAATTTTTAGAGGTTTTAGGGAGAACAAATAGAAGTAGTGGTAGATCGAGGAAGCAAATAAATGAGGGGTGACAAAATATTTAGGAGTAGCAACTGACATAACTTTAAAAAAATATAAAATTAGAAACACAGGGATGATAAGGTTTGGTTTTTCAAAGTACAACGAGATATCTATTAACAAAATTCTAAGTAAAACTATATTAAAAAATAGATAATTTTATATCGGTGCTAGCCGCATAATTGCGCGGGCCACCCAGCCAGTTTTAATTATCCTAGCTACAAAAGGTTTAGTGTGCTCTTTTTCAAGCCTTTTTGGACTAATTAAGTACTGAGAACCGGTACATGTGCAGTGTATCACTGTATTGTTGCTGACGAGCTCTATCTTTAACACGCTTGCGTATGTGTAGTAGCATGCAGTCGATCGATATAGTAGTACCAGTATAGGAGTAGGAGTAGTATATATGATGATATAAATAAGAAAGCTTATCACCTGTTCCGTTGGTTAAGTGAAAAATGATTAGATCTTTGTGGGCTTTTGCAACAGTCAGTAAGTGCAAAATGATATAAACGAGTGCTAAACTGCTAATGGGCCGTAGTATGTCGGATGTGAAAAAGCCCACGGGCTAATAACATTCAGTGATAGGTCCAAAATTGCAGTATAAACACTACACGAGCTCTTATGCTCTTTTCCATATCCGTGCGTGGCTTTTTGAGTACTACTAGCTCCTTCGCGCCGAAACCACACTGCTGCCGCCGACTCCGTGCGGCGTGGGGTAAAGGTTGCCATGGTGCCGGTGCCTGTGCGGCGGGGGTGCCTGTGTTCGGCTGGCGCTCGCCGCCAGGTCCGCCGCTGCCGTAGGCCCAATTGCCGGAAGGCGGAGAGGGGGGGGGGGGGGGGTAGGGAGAGCGCCGACGTTGGCTCCAATGCACGCGGCGCCCATGCCGTAGGGGACGGATGGCGGCGCTCTCGTGCCGTGGGGAGAAGAAGAGGGGATAAATGCGGTTGTTTTTCGGAAAAACCCTTGTGTTTTTTATGTTTATAGAGCAACCTCTAGAAGCAGAATTTTCCCTTCTCAGTGTTGTATTTCTGAGAAAGATGAGGGGTTTTCCGTATAAGACGCAACGGGTGTCAGTCGGTGGGAGGACGTGCACCGCTATTCCGTTCAAACACAATGAGTTTTTTTTTCATAAACACCACCATGCGTCATTTACTCGAGAAACAAAATGATCAGGGTGTGCATGGCGCACATGCAAGGCGAGACCGACACAACCAGTGTGGGAAACCAGACAAAAAAAAATCATGTCACCCAATCGAGGAGGTTCCGCACCTGCAAACTACATGGCACAACTACCAAGGAGCAAAAAAGAAAGACAAAAATGGAGCCCTATGGGGCTTTACTATCTTATTATTCTATGTACTCATCCTTAAGGCCTTTGTTCGATATAGCTGAATTACAATATTTTTTCGCAACAGGCAAAACGGGAACAACAATTAACGCACGGTTAATTGAGTATTACTCACGCCGTCCCAATATATAGCAACCTATGACTGGATAGGACACATCCTATTACAAGGATATATTCCATCTAGTCATATAGTGCTATATATTTGGATGAATGAAGTAACTATTACAAAATTTAAAATAGATTTATTTGATTTTTTAAAAGAAATTTCTGTAATATTTTTTTTAAAAAATCTATTCTAAAATATAAGGCACAATTACCACTAACACAAATACCAAAAAATAATTTTATCATCTTCATATTTGGATCATATAATGCATGCACCCAATGATATTAGAAATCTTGAGGAAGAAGGACTAAAAAACGAATTTAGATGAGGAGGTGCTAGTTGCATGCTTACCCTATATTATGAAACATAAAAAAAAAGGTAATTGCACAACGAATGAAGTATCTTTAGTAGATCGAGAAGCATGGTTATGGAAAACAAGGTAATAGCCCAACCAGGAAGTTGATTTAAACTCAACCTTACTACCAACAACTCCTTTGAAGAAAAATGATTTCAAAGGAGAAAATGGTGTGTTCAGAGAACTAAGATTTATATCCTAGTTGAGTTGTGTGTGAGGATGTAACCGTAGAAGCCCGTTTCCCATTGTATTTTTTTAGCTCAAGGATTAATTACCTCCTTGTAATTGTTTAACGTTTATTTCGCTTGTAATATTCAATTGTCACTTTGTAATTTTAATTTAACAGAATCGAACATTTTCAAGTAAATGGTTTATTTTCTCTAAAAATTCTTGTAACTTAAACGGGACAGACGATTAATAAACATCTTAGCTGAACAATTACATAACAAATTAATACTCCTTCAATTTTAAAATAATTATCAGTTTTAACTTTGAGTTGTTAAGAATTTGACCAATAATATTTTAAAATATTATTAGATAATAGAGTTGTATACAATCGGATTTAATAAACCGAATGTGCTTTAATATAACACCATACATTTCAACATATTCAATTTGACGTTGGTGGGAAAAAGTAACGGTCAAAGTTCATCTAGCCCGTTTAAAACCGGAAATAAGGGTGTGTTTAGTTCACGCTAAAATTAAAAGTTTGTTTAAAATTAGAACGATATGACGGAAAAGTTGGAAGTTTGTGTGTAGAAAAGTTTTAATGTGATAAAAAAGTTAGAAGTTTGAAGAAATATTTTGAAAATAAACTCGGCCTAGGTATTCGGAATAGAGGAGTGACAACAACGCTAGCCCAGGCATCTTTCGAACAATGAAAGTCAAGAGAAATACCGAAAAACATATCTTGCAATCAAACAAAACTTTGCAGGCCTAGAACATTAATTAAAACTCACTTGATTTCTCCCTCCCGACTCCACCATTAATCAATTGCTTACTACACTAATCAAGTATAAATTAACACAAACAAAATGCTAGCTATACCAACAATTTGTATGTCTTAATCGCATGCAATAATATGTTTGCTTATGCATTATTGGAGAAACCATCTTTGCTTGGTTGGCTAAAAACCACAATATTTCCGGTTTGAATAGAAACCGGGACTATAGATGATTTTTTTCTCGGTTTAAAACTCTATCGGCCCTAAATGATCTTTAGTCCCAGTTGGTGTTACCTCGATCAATCAATCAGATCACCTCAACCTCGTCAATTTCCAGTTCCTCCTGTCCAGCGGCTCGCTGCTGCCGGCGGTGACGTCGTCCTGGTCGGTCGTCATCGTGATCTCGTCGCTGCTGCCGGCCACCGTCGCCGCCACGGGGACGATCTCCTTGGTGCGCCTCTCGCCGCCGCTGAACCTGAGCATGTCGACCACCTCGGCCATCGCCGGGCGGCTCTCGGCGCTGCTCTGCGTGCACAGCATGGCCGTCTCCACCACGGCGCGGAGCTGCGCGGCGTCGAAGCGCCCGGCGAGCCTTGGGTCGGCGAGGCGCTCCCACCTGCGGCGCTCCACCAGCGGCGCCGCCCACTGCACGATCTCGCGCTTGACGCCGCCGGGGAGCTTCTCCAGCGGGCGGCGCGCGCTGACGAGCTCCAGCAGGAGGACGCCGAAGCTGTAGACGTCGCAGCTCTCGGAGACCTTCCCCCACATGGCGTACTCCGGCGCCAGGTACCCGAGCGTCCCCTTCACCCGCGTCGTCAGGTGCGACACGCCGTCCGGGATCAGCTTCGCGAACCCGAAGTCGGCCACCTTGGGCACGAACTCCGCGTCGAGCAGCACGTTGCTCGCCTTGATGTCGCGGTGGATGATGTGCGGGCTCGCCTCATGGTGCAAGTACCTGCAATGCCAATGGATAGTAGGTTAATCAATCAACCTCGGTGATGCTCGATCATGGCGCGCCGGCCGTGGACGACTCACGAGAGGCCTTCGGCGGCGCCGACGGCGATGGCGACGCGGCGGGGCCACTCGAGGGGGACGTGGTGGTGGGAGGAGGGGGTGCCGCGGTGAGGGTGCAGGTGGGTGAGGAGGCTGTGGTTGGGCATGTAGTCATAGACGATGAGGCGCTCGTCGCCGCCGGCGTAGAAGCCGCGGAGGCTCAGCAGGTTCCTGTGGCGGACGCGGCCGAGGATCTCCACCTCCACGGCGAACTCCATCTCCGCCTTGGCCGTCATCGCCTTCAGCCGCTTCACCGCAATCTGAACAAGATAGAACTATCGATCAATTCGCCTCAATCCATGAACACACACCTCGGCCGTCACACACCTAGTGCGAGTCGTTAAAAAAAGAAAAGAACACCGCGGCCATCAACCTGCCCGCGTCGGCGGCGATGATCCAACCCACCTCGACGCCTTTGGAGGTGCGTCCCCAGTAGACGGTGCCGAAGCCGCCCTCGCCGAGCTTGTTGCTCTCGCTGAAGTTGCCGGTCGCTTGCAGGAGCTCCTTGAGCGTGTACGTTTCCCATGGGTAATCCACGCTCGTCCGGTTCTTGGACGCCCTCGCCGGATTCGTCCTACCATCCCAAATTAATTAACAAGTCACACCAAATGATCACCTCAGCCGATCGATCGGTGCTATCAAGAACTCTCTCTCCGATGGCAAACAACACATCACACCGAATGATCACCTCAACCGATCGATGCTATCAAAGTATCAAGAACTAATTCTGATGGCTTCTACATGCATGGTACTGCAGTAATACGTACCTCCGACGACTACTGGTGGCAGCCGGCTCCGGATCAGAGTCGCCGCCGGTGACGCAGCAGAAGCACCGGTTGATCATTTCTTCACAGCAATCGATGGATCCTGCGGGCCAAGCTGACAGTATGCGGATGAAGAATAATCTGAAATAAGTACGATGGAAGAAGATAAATTCGATCGATCGATCAGGATGTGGATTTGGAAGACGAACCAAAGGTGAAGGAAGCTTGAGAAGAAATGCTACCTTTGATTGCTTGTTTGAGTTCTTGTCTGCTTCGCTCGCGTACAAAATTGTCCTCCTCGTGCTTGGCTCACTTTGGAGATTTCACTCCCTCCCTGCTGTGCAAATGTGATGTGGTATCTAGAAGGGCCATTTTATTAAGGACAAATTAAAAAAACCAACGGCAGCTGTGCACGGAATGGAATTTAATTTCATACAAATGTATATTCTATACACAGATTGAAGACTGAAGATTTCAAAGGATACGTATACGGTCAGTCTCTGACTTGAAAAGATATATAAAGGTTATACGGAATACACTGTAGCTATGGAAGAACTAATAGACAGGAGGTGGTCCATGACAATGGATTCAGAGAGATTTTGAACTAGACAAGACAACTGCAGATCACAAATTCTTATGCGTCTTTTCAAAAAAGAATGATAGATAAAGTAAAGGGACCAATTCAGCATTCCAATAGGAAGACAGATTCAGTATATTGTTTGGATTTCTTCTGTGTTCATCTCTAAAAGGCAAAGAGATGTATCCCTTTCCTATTGAAAAGTATGAAGACGATTTCTGCATAGTAGGGTATACCAGTTTTAAACTTTTACCTCACCAAGAGCAAAATCAGTAAATCACAGTGCTAGCCACTAGTCCAACATAGAACCAAACCTGTCACAAAACTACAAAAGGTATTTCCAGAGGCACCCTACAAGTTCCAATTGACATTTCTTATATGTTCATAGAGATTATTTAGAAAATTACCTAATTTTCCTCAGAAAGTAGCTATTTTTGAGGACTCCAGGCACCAGCCTTTACAACATAAGGTGAGGTAATCACATTCTTGCTCATCAGCATACTAGACTTACATTGCACAACCGTAGCGACCAGGTCAGAGATAGACTTAAGCTTTTTTTTTATTATTTTTTTGGAACAGGGCAGCAGCCCTGCAGTATGAGAGGATCAATTCAAACTGCATTCTTATATTTTGTTGTTCTATCAAATGGCTTAATTCGATTGTCCAACAAAAGATCTTGAGAAAGTCGGCCGATTATTTTTTTTTTCTGAGCTCGTCAACTCATGAAGTGAAATGATGAAATGCAGGCTCACCCAGTAAACAAAGGGAAGAACATTACCTAATCAGCTTATGACGTGTGCCGCTTCCATTTGTTAATAGCACAAAGATGTGACATCCAATGGTCAATTAGCCTCATGGAAGGCTTGTGATAATTACAGTCGTACAGACAAGCAACAAATTGCTTCAAGTTGACGATGTTGTTCCCCTCACCTGCAGAGAAAGAAACAGAGGTTCAGGTTTTCTTATGGTGCAACCTGCATTTATATGCATATGCACTTGTGAAGTCAGTCAGCTTGCCCGTCATAATCTAATGCAGGCCAGAGAGAACAACACAACAAAAAGAGACAAAATGTGCATAATTACCTCCTTATCCTTAATCAGGAAGATAGTACTGTTTTTTTTAGATAAGTCACCCCGGGGGGGGGGGGGGGGGGGAGATTCCCCACCTGAATTTACCATTATAAAGGAGAGCTACAAAGTTTGTTACACATTAGTCAGAATTTGAAGGGGAGCCGAAAAGATAAGCTTCCAAGAATTGATTACAGAGCGATGCTCAAATTTGAGGCGTTCTAGCCAAAGACCACTCTCCTCCATACATTCGCGAAGGACCGACTGCAGAGACGGGGACATGTTCCTGAAAACAACATCATGCCGATGATTCCACAAGCACCAGAAACATAGAAGATAGAACACCTTGTAATGAAATTGGGGCAGATTCCCATCAGGTTTCAGATTGGCCATATCACTGACATGTTGAATTCGAGGGCTTAAACCTATTGCCTCCCAGAAACCTTGAGCGAATGGGCAATTTAGTACTGTTTTTGGGTTACCTTTTCTGTTAATTGTCCAAAAATAAGAATGATGCAAACCGTCAGGCCAACGAACTGGTAAAGATCAAAGCTAGGTTTAAGGTATCATTATCAATCAAGCATGAGGAATCGAATCATGACCAGTGTGCTCACCATCTCCATCTCGTGATCAGTTGATCCGGCGATCTCGCCGCCACTACCTCCTCCTGGACTCCTCGCCCCAATTTCGACGGCGGTGATCCCCGTAGTGTCACGTGTTGCCGATAGTTAAATTCAGATTCTGCATTTTACATACTTGCCGCTTCGTGTGCAAATACGATCACCGAACAGTAGAATACTCCCTCTTTTTCACGTTATTTGACGTTTTAACTTTAGTCAAAATCAAACTATTTTAAGTTTGACTAAGTTTATATATCAAATATAGTAATATTTATAATACTAAATTAGTTTCATCAAATCAATAATTAAATATCTTTTTATAATAAATTTGTCTTGGTTGAAAATATTACTCCCTCCATCTACTTTTGATAGTCATATTTTCAAATCTGTAAAATTTATTTTCGATAGGCATATTTCAATCTAACAAATTATCATTTTAACGACTTTCTCGGATTTAATGCATGACTCTATTCTTCCACGTAAGATTGGCTACATGAGAATCGAGAAATGTAAATATTAATGAATCGCATGTTTACAAGGAATGACTAGTAGCATGTTTAAATGGATGATAAGTAAAATTACTTATCCTTGATCTGTGTGCCAAGATGAAATATGACTATCGAAAGTAGGTGGAGAAAGTACTACACCCTCTGTCCCATAATATAAGGGATTTTAAGTTTTTACTTATAATATTTGACCACTTGTCTTATTCAAAAAATTTGTGCAAATATAAAAAACGAAAAGTTGTGCTTAAAGTATTTTGGATAATAAAGTAAGTCACAAAGAAAATAAATAATAATTCTAAATTTTTTTGAATAAGACGAATGGTTAAACAGTGCAAGTAAAAACTTAAAATCCCTATATTATAGGACGGAGGGAGTACTTAACTTGGTTAAACTTAAACTTTGACCAAAGTTATAACGTCAACGGAGGGAGCAGTACATTGCTTCGTGTCGTCAGATATCATCTAATCCCATCCCATCCATCCCGTGATAGAATTTCATTGATCCACAGTTCCACACTTACACATATGGCAATGTCAGTTGCCAACAATACTCCTGACAATTTCGATGGCAACACCCACCCTAAACACACAATCAACAGGTTTCTCCTTATAATATCGATGGTCAAACAAAACAGCACATCATCAATTGAACGAAAGAACTACTGTAAGCCTAAAACACACGTTCGTGAGAACATCTAGCTTTTTTTTTAAAAAAAAAAGACAGGGAGAAGGGCAATCAATAGCTCCAGCTCTAGCTACTATACTTTGATCGAGCGAAGCATGTTTCGCAGGGAGAAGGGGCACTTCTGATCAGGCTGGGTGATATCCGTCAGCTTTACATCACATCTACTTGGCCAAGTTGCATCCACGGATGTAAGGGTGATCATACTTTATATACCTTGTCCAATATGGTCTGTACTTGGTCATACTTGGTCATTGCCAACTCCAGCCATGGCTTCATGTTACCGTTGTAATCAACAACGGCTGCATTATCTATCTCTGAGCGGTCAATGCTTGGGTTGTATCCTAATCCGAGGACATGCCACGACTTGTCAAGGGGATGCGTCAACTTGAAGAAGGTCAAGAGGCCGTGTGGAAGTGTCCCAAGCTTCCAAAGAACCCGGTCTTCGTTCTGTTAGAAGAAAAAAAAAAAAAGCAACATTGATGTTAGAGTAAATCGTTTTGCATGACATCTCTAAATCAATGAGATCCAATCATGGAAGTAGTAATCTCACCATGTTTTGCCACCTGTGGTAGATCCCAGTGATATCTTTCTTCTTCCACTCGTTCAGATCAAAGATGTTCATTCCATATGCCCAGCCACATGCATTTGGATCGAAGTTCCGAGCGATATGTGGATTTGAAAAGTTAAGATACTTGTCAAAACGATGAAAACTCTCCCCACAGGTCTCCACTGCACCGGTGACCTTCCCATTAAGATCAACATCCCATAATCCCGTCAAATCTTTCTGCACGACTATGTCATCATCAAGGAAAAATATCTTATCCAACTTTGGATAGACCTGTGGGAGATAAAATCTCAAGTGGTTCAGCATGGAGAGGTACTTGGGGTTACGATACTTTAGGTTTGAAGAACCCGCAGAGAGAGTGGTGGGGCGGTCAGCTTTGAAATAATACTCTTTCATGGCTGCAGACTCAAGTTGCCGTAAAACAGGACAGTATGATGAGTTCAACCACTTAAATTCATCTACGTTCTCAACATGGATGGTGGCCTTCCCAGGAGGGTTCAGCAAAAACCACATGTTCATGGCTCCAAAGTTCAACTTATCAGTCACAAGATGGAAAACATGCTTCTCAGGCTCCTGAAAAGATTATGCCATAGATAGCTGTTAGAACAATTATCACACTTTGCACTTGATTAAAAAGGAAGACGAAACTACCTTAGCATTCATGATGGTTGAGTTCACAACAGATGCTGCCAAGACATTGTCTGAGAAAAGTGCATAATGGTAGAGCTCTGGATTTTCCAAGTTCTCGCTCCTCGGGAACTTCCTTTTCTCCAACGGGAGGAGATAGTAATCTATTGTTAAGCGCATCGACAAACAATGAATGCTGTTTGGAATTGTCTTCGCAGCCAACTGGCTAAGAAATGTACTCTGCTTCTTCAAGCTCCTGACTTGTTCATCTGCTGACTGAAGCATAGCTCTAAGTCTCTGAGTAACCGCCTTGCAATCATACACATCTTCTCTAGCCTTGGATAGAAGTTGACCCATTACTCTGACTTTCTCAGGTGCACTGCAAAGTACATTATTTGTCATGATAGAGAACAAGATGAGATATAAAAATATGACGTGAAAATAGGCACAAACCTATGATGAAGGTCAGAATCAGCAGTAGCCTCTCCAACAGCCCGCTGGCTTTCCTTGATCCTGGTTTGCAGCTCTTGATAAAGATCATTCTTGTTCTTTGATTTAGCAAGCACAGAATAAACACGTGCCATAATAATCTGGTCTCTCATCAATCTAACTGTCAAATCTGAGTTCTCATTCTCATTCTCCTTTCTCCAAATGCTGTATTTCCCAAGGACAGCAGAATCTTTGATCGATCAATAGCAGCATTCTCCAGCTTAACACGTGCTTCATCATCTTTCCTTACAAATCCATTGCCCTCTTTTCACGCCTTTTCTCCCTTAGTTTCTTTAGTGACCAAACAGTATCAAGGGATGAATGATGTCATAATGCATACGATAGAAACAAATAACAATGCATCAATGTACATACAAGAAGATCAGCATTCTTACCCTTCGAACATTTTTTGCAGCCGTGTCGACTTGATGTTCATCTGCACAGACAAGAAGTTTATTTTCTTGCATACCTAATCAGACGATGTAAAAATTTAAAATGTGCTTTTTTTTAAAAAAAAGCATGGTTATTTTTGTACCAGTATCATCCTTGAGTGTTTTATCTGTAGAGCTGTTTGCAGATTTAACCTTGTCATCAATATCCAAACTCGCATTGCTCAGGTCATTGACTAGATCATCAGTTTTCCAAGAGGGAGATGCACGTTTTATGAAAAAATCAACACTCAAAGCACCTGCTTCTTGTTGACTAGAAGCTAAAGCATCAAACATCTGGAGACCAGAAGGCATGTATAAGACTAAAAGAACAGAAAAATTGAGGATACTTCTGAACAAGAAGACAGTTTCTTATGCAAATAACAGTAGATGGTAATTGAAAAATCAAAATGTCCGCAACAGAATTACAGAGCAGATAGGGGACACAGCATGCAAATCTACTTGGAACAACAGAGAGTAGCATGGTATTTAGAGAAAAGGCAATCAGTTGCAAGGACAAATCAGAGAGGATGACGTTGCGAAATTAGTAGCATAGCAAAGATGAGCACGTTGTTATGTACCCTTGTACATTTCCATGAAACCAAAAAAGAAAGATAAGAAATTATATTACTAAGTCGCGAGACAATTCTGACCTCCTTGGACAAAATAGATTTCAGGTTGTTCGTTGGCAGCTGTTTTTGCCATTCTGTTTCCTGCAAGAAAGCTTTAATGTGAGATGGATCCTCAAAATTTAGGCTAAGCAATTAACTAGCTCCCAGAATGGAAAAATACCTGAGTACCTTCCATATCCATGGGATCTGCAGGTAAACAAACTACAACATCACTTATCTATTTCAAATCAGTATAACAGTATTCAAATACTACAAAACATTGACAATGTTCCTACAGTTCTAATAAATGTAGTTTTCTTGTTTATAGGCTTTTGGCACTACAATTACATCCACAATTCACTTGTGCACCCTAGATTCTTAATAGCTAGGGCTTTCCCCACAATGTCACACATCTAACCTAGCAAAGGCACAAGTGACACTACAATAGATAGGAAAATGGTTTCCAAAATCACTTGAATCACAACTTCAACTGTCTGCTGTAAACTCATGATTCCTCCAAAGTGCGATGGATTAATTTTTTGTTTCCAAAACAGAGCATCATGATCCAATTATCTACGTTTTCTATCCAAAATCATAACCAAGCCTACTAATACAACTCATCAATTGAATTTAACAATAGTACCTAAACCACTGACATCTACTCGGATTCCATTCCGAGTAATATCCCTCAGACCAACGCTGGGAAACTAACCAAACCTGAACACATCACTCCCCAGTCCCCACCCCCACCTTAAAAAAAAAAAAACAATCTAGATGCTACATTCGCGACGGAGGATGCGATTAACAACCGACAGCGCCGCGCATCAGGAGGGGGGAGGGGGATGCAAACCGGAACCTGAGCCGACGTGGCCCCCATTGCACGCGACGAAGAAGATCGACGGCGCGAGAACGAAGAGGAACACGACGACCACCAGCGGCGCCACCACGCCGCGCCTCCCTCCTCCGCCGCCGCCGGCCGTGGAGTACGGGAGCCGCTTCGAGTTCGCCATCTCCAGCGAAGGGTAGGATCCGCGGGGGTCCACCTCGCCGGAGAGTGCACGTACGTCGCGCGCGGCGCGCTTCCCTCTCCGCCTCCTCCGCCGAGAGTGGGGTGGGGGGAGTGGCGTGGTGAGGGGAAGCCTGGAAAGGAAGGGGAAAGCACCCGAAGATGTGA